TGTTGGTTTCACCCCTCCTCCTCAGTGTGGGTCTGAAGGGGAGGAGCCAGGAAACACAGAGTGGAGCTGGCTGTGTCTGAGAGCAGGAAGAAGAGGGAGGGCTCATCAAAGTCTGACTCATTCCAGGAGGAGCAGCGCTCACACTCTGACCTACACAGAGCCTCGGTTACAACCTGCTCTTCCTATGAAAAGAGCTTTTAGTTGTAAAATAAGTGGGTAAACTTACAAAGTCTGAAGGGAGTTAAATACTTGTTTCCTCCACTGTAAATGTATCGCCTCAACGTCCTGAGATAGCTGATTGATTTAATAGTTGAATGTACAGTAAGTCGTTTTTTACTGTAAGTACTAGTAGTAGTAGTAGTAGTAGTAGTTGTTGAAGTAGTAGTAGTAGTAGTAGTTGTAGTTGTAGTAGTAGTAGTAGTAGTAGTAGAAGTAGTATAGTAGTAGTAGTAGTAGTAGTAGTAGTAGTAGTAGTAGAAGTAGTAGTAGTAGTAGTAGTAGAAGTAGTAGTAGTAGTAGTAGTAGTAGTAGTAGTAGTAGAAGTAGTAGTAGTAGAAGTAGTAGTAGTAGTAGAAGTAGTAGTAGTAGTAGTAGTAGTAGTAGTAGTAGTTGTAGTTGTAGTAGTAGAAGTAGTAGTAGTAGTAGTAGTAGTAGTAGTAGTAATAGTAGTAGTAGTAGTAGTAGTAGTAGTAGAAGTAGTAGTAGTAGAAGTAGTAGTAGTAGTAGTAGTAGAAGTAGTAGTAGTAGTAGTAGTAGTAGTAGTAGTAGTAGTAGAAGTAGTAATAGTAGTAGTAGTAGTAGTAGTAGTATTAGTAGAAGTAGTTGTAGTTGTAGTAGTAGTAGTAGTAGTAGTAGTAGTAGTAGTTGTAGTTGTAGTAGTAGTAGTAGAAGTAGTAGTAGTAGTAGTAGTTGTTGTAATAGTAGTAATAGTAGTAGTAGTAGTAGTAGTAGTAGTAGTAGTAGTAGTAGTAGTAGTAGAAGTAGTAGTAGTAGTAGTAGTAGTAGTAGTAGTAGTAGTAGTAGTAGTAGTAGTAGTAGTAGTAGTAGTAGTAGTAGTAGTAGTAGTAGTAGTAGTAGTAGTAGTAGTAGTAGTAGTAGTAGTATTGTGTGTGGAGGGGCTTTTATATAGAAAAAACTCCTCATTCTGTGCATTCACACTAAATATGAACCTGAAAACTTTATACGTCCTCTTTAGTTGACACCAAAATGATGATTTGTGGTTGAAACCTTCTATTAAAGCTTTTATTTTTACCCTCCAACAGATGTGTCTCAATGGAGAAGAAGAAACCTCAGATTCCTTAGAGTCCATCGAGGTGAGTTCCTCCGAGGAGACGTCCCCCGCTGTGTCCCCATCCCAGGATCAACCCGGTATCACGGCAAGACGTGAACGTGTGACGATGTACCATGCTGGGAGACGTGAAGATGTCACGATTTCGTCCCTTCAAACGTGACGGTTACACGGTATTGTTAACCCATGTTAACCAGTGGAGAAATACCCGGAAAGGCCAAGCAAATGCTCCCCGACGGTCGGTTGTTATTGTCAATATTAATATATGATTTATTTGGTAATAGTCACACTCGATTACGCCGGTTTCCTTGTTGCCCCAGCTGGTCGACTCCTCTTTGAGCAGAAACAAAGGCTACATTAATGTATTAAATCGATGTTAATCCGTGCGTGTGGATGTGGAATTAACGGACGTGACGTTGTGCGATTGCGTTGCCAGGCAACAGCTTTGGTTCATGTTAATTTACAAACTCTTCAACTACAACCGTAGTTATATTTAAAAACATGTTAGAAGGCCTCACGAAATACTTTAATGCAAATTAAAATGTAAATGTGAAGGAATGTTTTTAGAACAAAATACATCCGTCATAAACGAAACCGGAAACAGACGTAGGCAAGATCCTCAGCTCAGTGATTGGATGGTTTAGCCGCAATGCATGCTGGGATTTGGTGTTTATGCGATGTGTAATCCGAAAACATAAAAAAAAATAATAATAATACTTTATTCCGAGTGTGCTTGCTTTTCTCTTTGAAAGTCATTACATAACGGCATTGTAATACACGGTTCGGCTGCATTGAATATGACATATCTGCCGTAGTTCTCTATTTATAGAGCCGTGCTGAGAAGACTTCCAGACAAACAGGAGAACTGCCGCCAAAACTGAAAACGTGACGTGGATCATAAATATATCAGCAATTAAACAACATCTTGCATTTCTTTTCACACAATGCGTCTCCTTGCAGTATCAACACTAATTCGGCTGACTTTTATATTTGATCCAGTTGGTAGATAGGCTGTATTATTTTAATCTATTTTATTTTCACATTTGTATCAATTGCTTGTCAAACCCTTTGAAGTGTATCAGAGGAGCTCTAGAAGGTGCTATCATTGTTTTAAATGTGATAATTGGTCATCATTTTATCGTTATTTTTACTTTACTTCCTTTATTCTACCTATTTCTATTATTTAGATTTAATCATTTTTTAATCATAATTTTGAATTCACTGTATTTTCACTTAAAGGTGGGGTAGGTAAGTTTCAGAAACCGGCTCGAGTGCACTAACATTTGAAAGTACGCAGCCGAAAAGAATCCGCCCCTTCCTTCAGACTTCCTTACAGAGCACCTCCTCCAACACACATGAACGCACATGACGTCAGCAGACTGGTGAGAGTGGCCGCCTGTTGCTGGCGAGTCATTGAAGTACTGCTGCAATGAAGGCACGCCCAATGAGGGCACGCCCAATGAGGGCACGCCCAATGACGGCATGAGATACATGTGTGCGTGCACAAGATGGAAGGCTGACAGACAGGGCGGCAGGCCGGCTAAACGGATTGGATGTACTTTCTACAGCACCACGGCTTCCACAGATGACATTTTTTAATGGATTTTTTGTCAAAGCACTTCAGATATTCATTGCTATCGGGATGTTAAGAGCATTCCATGGAATATAACAACAAGTGTATCTCGAGCCGGTTTCTGAAACTTACCCCACCTTTAAATGTTGTTTATTATGACTTTTATTAGTTTTATTTTCAGCACTTTTTAACATCCTCATGTCAATTGGTCGTCAAACACAGATTAATAAAGTATTTTTGTTATATCATCAGTTTTATTTTATATTTCCTTATAATTGTCGTCGATCATTATCCAATCCAATCCACTCTATTTCTATAGCACATTTAAAAAACAACAGAGATGGACAGGACATCAACAACTGTATAACAACATAGCATAAATACATAAAGAACAGACAGGACATGAAACAAATGTAAAACACGAGACACTGAAACCAGATCAGGAGCCACAGACTGAGGAACTCTCCTACGTGACGTACAAACAATACAAAACACGAGTAAGATAAGAACCCAAATGTAAAAGCACAAGTGTCATCTGGTCCGTAAATGCCAGGGAAAAGAAGTGGGTTTTTAAACGAGATTTAGAAACAGGCATCCAGCCACCCCGGTAGATCCGCCCCTGCTAATGAGGATGCTGAATCCATTTCTGACCTTTCCAGGATATAAAATAGCAGCTTTAAGCAGAAAGTGGACATAATGTACTCTCTGTCGGCTGATTTTGACATACCATGATATCGAGAGCACAAGATGAACATTATTGATATTGATATACTTTATTAATCCTCGTGGGGAAATTGTTTCTCTGCATTTGACCCATCCTGTGTTAGGAGCAGTGGGCTGCCATTTTGAACGGCGCCCGGGGAGCAGTGTAGGGAACGGTGCCTTGCTCAGGGACACCTCGGTAGCACTTGGTCTTGCCGGGACTTGAACTGGTGACCTTCCAGTTGCCAAGCCAAGTCCCTATCGACTTCGCCACCACCGCCCCTATTATCTCTACCGTGGACATTTCTTTTTCAAATAAATAAACAATCGGTCCAATCCAAATGATCCAGGGTCCCCTAAAGCTTCCAATCAGCCCACCGGGAGAATTTTCCGGTTAAAACTGCCATTGTTGATCCTGAAAATGTCAGAAATGGATTCAGTTTCCTCAATAACCCCCAAAACCACTACAAGACTGTCCAAATCAGCCAAGCCATTTTTGAACTGGCTATAATGGCGGTACTTACTTACTTACCTCTTCATTTGAGTACATGTACTGCAAACACTGCATATCTGTTGGTGTTTTCCAATGTGGAAGAGTTGGTAGATTCTTGTGTTTTGGAGGAAATATCTTGAAAACTGTTAACGGTGATTTAAACCTGAGAGCAGGATTAGCTGAAACAAGTCAGGAAGCTTATAAAAGTTAACAGCGTTTAATTAAACAAATAATGCCATGATATACAAATGAAAATATGCGAGTGGCGTGGCTCCCCCCCTCAGGTCAGCTGATACCCGTTCGCGTGGGGTGCTGGGCGGAAGAGAGATCGATTCTCGGCTTGATTCCCCTGTTATCAACTGTAGTCTTCTCCCATTGGCCGGTCTAGATGGGGGCGGGTCCAATAAACATCCTGGCGTTTTCTGATTACATTTACAATATTCTAACGTCTGTGGTTATTTAAACATTCCCTAATAAAAGTATTGCAGTGTCAATAAGTGAGGGTTAAAGACAGTGTGTTTAGTGTCACCACGTGTCATTTCTCCTTAAATTCACTTTTTCTTAAAACACGTAATATTAGCCGAATGTTAATGCTAACCGGAAGTGACGATATTTACTGCTGGAAACCGGAAGTCATGTTCTGAACTTCCGGTTTTCAGAATTAAACAGCCCTAATTAAAACAGTGTATTTAATTTAAATTACGCCATACAAACATATATTTACATTTCTTACAAAACCAACTGAAGCTCAGTGTAGAAACGAAACCCTGAATACTCACTGAACGTTTTACAGATAGCTGCATTAAAATGAATAACTTTTGATAAACAGCTTAAAGAATATGGAGAAAAGTTGCAAAGGAGAGAATTAGCATTTCATAAGAAGTACTTCTGCTAGTCAAAAGATGATGTGAAAAGTGGGAAGTTCATGGAATAAAATCACAAAGAAAAGGGTTCTTTTTTTTATTCAAATACAAACGGTTTCTTATCTGCAAATACAGTTGATTGAGTGCAAATGTATTTTCAGGTGGCTTAGTTAAAGTCACTCCTTGTGGACTTCTGAAGTGTTTTGGTTCAGCCTTCAGTCTGTGGAGCTTTCACACAGAGAGGCTGGAAGAAGAAGAAGAAAGAAGGTCAGGAGAGAATCAGAGAAGCAGGTGAGTCCTTAGCCGCTTTCACACCGAGTACTTTGCCGCACTTAGTTCCCAGCACTTAGTTCCCAGCACTTAGTTCCCAGCACTTAGTTCCCAGCACTGAGTTCCCATGCACTTAGTTCCCAGCACTTAGTTCCCAGCACTTAGTTCCCAACACTTAGTTCCCAACACTTAGTTCCCACCACTTAGTTCCCAGCACTGAGTGCCCCCATGGAACTAAAGAGCAGATCGCGTTCACACCGGAATAAGTCCCTGAGGGAAGATTACGCAAATGAAGCCGCGACGTCACTTCTTCTTCTTCTGCTTTGGGTTTACTGGCAGGCCACTTCACGGCGTATACTGCACCCGAAGTCCCCGGCCGGAAGTCCCCGGAGTTGGGGACTGGCTTCAGTAGAAGCTGCTGGGACTCCCAGCAGCTTCTACTGAAGCCTTCAGAGTAAATCGCCAGAACGCCGACACCTCCTCATCTCCACCGCTCCCATGTTTTCTTTTGTGTTGCCATAAATTATTCTCTCTGCGTTGGTGCGCGGGGCTAATGCTAATGCTAATAATGCTAATGCCAGCAAATAAAATGGCGGCTTCACAAAACCTTTCAGAGTTTTACGGGGCGTGGTTTGCAATCCGCCCAGACAATCAGAAATTGGAACTTTTTTCTCCTCAGGAAAGTACCCCCTCTCTAGCAGGGACTGAAAAGGGGGGGAAAGTCCTCATGAACTAAGTTCTCTTTTTGGTGTGAACGCAAAATCCCAGGAACTAAACGGGAAAAGTACTCCGGTGTGAACGCGCCACTGAGAGTTTAACCCGTGACTCAAACATCACCGAGCCGAGACTTGTATCTTCTTAGTCAGAGTACAAGCTCTCATTTTGGAGAAACCTATGTCACAGTTTTTCTCAGAATTTAGAGTTTTTTTTTCAAAATCCCCAAACTCTGACTTTTTTTCAAAATGTTGACTTTTTTCTCTAAATCTCGGAATGTCAGACTTTTTTCCCAAATCAAAAAATTCTGACTTATAAAATTAATGTTGTCTTCTTGTATTTTTCTCAAATGTCTGAGCATGCAATCATACTGAAAATCTGCTAACTAGAATATGGGAAAAGGTTTTTGATGTTAAACCAAAGTATTGGACAAAGTGGCTCCAATAACACGGCTGACAATTTATCATAAAGTTGAAAATGTGACATGAAGCGAACCATGTATGGTGTCTCCTCACCTGAGAGCGCTTCTTCTCTTCTCAGTCGGTGTCCTTCTTCAGGTATTTCTTCATGATGGAAGCCACGTCTCCCGCCTCGCTGCCCTCGGCCTCCAGCCTCTCTCCCTGCGGACCATCGAGCCTCCGTCTTCTTCCTCCTCCGTCCTGAGAACTCCCCGATGACGAGGAGTCCGTTTCAGATCCCTTCCTGCTCCGGGTGGAGGGAGGCAGCTCTCCGAAGTGAACGCTCAGAGCCCTCCGTCCTCCTCGCTCAGATCCCGTCAGGCTGCTGGTGGACTTCGCTCTCCGGATGGCGGGCAGAATATCTAACGCCGCGTCTTCCCGACCCTCCATTAGCCTCCTGTTCTGGAACACCATCGGTTCTGAACCCAGGGATGCTTCCCCTCCATCTTCTGTGGAAAGACTCCCCAGCATGCACCTCCTCGGGGGTTGAGGGGAGCGCTGCTGCATGGAGGTGGTTCGGGGTCGCTGTGGTTGATCTGGATCTTCTTCTGGGATGCAAAGAGAGGGAGTTTGATGGCGGGAGGCGAGGTTTGACCCCAAAGAGGAGAGGTGAGGCAGCGACGGGACGCCGGAGAGGGAATCACTGCTGGAGTTGGAGCGAGAGAGTTTAGCTCCAGGTGTTTGAGCGTCGCTGATGGAGCGAGCGCTGATGGAGCGAGGCATTATCGGGGACGGGGGTTTGAGGATGCTGGATCGGGGCTCCTGGAGGTCACCGGGGCCGAGGGAAAGGGCGGAGGCTCGGCGTCTGAGGGTGGAGGCGGCGGTCGTTTGATAAACAGGAAGAGAGACGGCGCTTCCGGCTCCGTCGTCTGCGTCTCCGCCGGCTCTGCGTCTCCGGAGGCCGTCGAGCAGCTCTGAGAGGGCGGAGGAGGAGGGGGCCCGACTCGGAGCCCTGCTGCCCCCCCCTCCAGCCCTGCTGCCTCCAGCCCTGCTGCCCCCCAACTCAGAGCCGTCATCATCATCGGGATTCTCACAAGACCTTCACAGAGAGAGAAACACTTTTTTTTCAGAACCTTGATTTTTTTTCTTCAAATATGTTAAAATTTCATAATTCAGTTTTCTTTTCTGGAAATATCTGATTTTTTTCTCAGAATTCTGACTTTTTTTCCACACAAGACCTTCAGAGAGAGAGAGACCCTTTTTTCAGAATGTGTTGTTCAAAATGTCAGAATTGAGATTTTTTTTTCTTAGCATCTCAAAATGTGGATATTTTTGTTTAAATCTCACTTTTTTTCAAAATCTAAAAATGCTGACTTTCGCAATCTAGCAATTCTGACTTTTTTTTCTTCTCAGAATTCTGACTTTTTCTTCTAAATCTCAAAATTATGCATTTTTTCAAAATTATGCATTTTTTCAAAATTATGACTTTTTAAAACTTTTTTAAAATTATGACTTTTTTTGGAATTCTGACTTTGGTGTGTGTGCACAAATACAGCAAATTATCTCAAATGAATCGTACAGATAATAAAAATATTAACCGATTGTTTTCTTGCTGCAACCCTTAACAAATTAAAATGAACAAGCTTACCTGAAGCTGTTGGTGCTCATGGTGTCGGCCAAAGACTGGCGCCCCCCCTGGCTGCTGATGGTACTGCTGCCGTTGGGAGACCCCGCCCCACGGGACCCCCCTCTGGGAACTCCTAACCAATGACGGATCCCCTCTCCAACGTCCTCTGTCCCGACGCTAGAGACCGAGTCGCTGCAGAGAGGAATCACACTTTATCACAACGGAGAGTCTGCACCATTTGCTTCACAACGCGCATGCAGGCTCTTCCATTCTGCAGACAAACGGTCAACGACTTCATGAACGTTAATTATAAGCTATTTGTTGTTCTATACATGTTTTATGCACCCTCTCGATTCATTTCAAAACATTCAAATGGCCAAACTTGAGGCTTTGAAACCGTAGTTCACGACCAATATGTGTTGAGGCCATACTGCAGTTTGAGTTGAATTCTGAGAAATTAAAGAATTTTTCAGAAATCTCACAATTTTTACTTTTTCACCCCAAAATCTCCAAATGTTGAAAAAATTCACAATTGTGACATTTCTTTTACGGATTCTGACTTTTATCTCAAAATAGTTCAACAACCAACATGTGTTGTTTTCTTTCTGTCAGAGGCCATACTGCCGTTTCAGTCGCAGTTGAATCATCAAGTTTGTCTTCTCCTTTCCATGCTCTTGCATTATTTCCCAGCCAAAATAATAATAATAACAATAATAACAATACCATCTGGGAGAAGCTTTGTATTCCCATTAAGCATTAAGCATTAAGCATTAAGCATGTCAAAGCCACGAGGATAAAACCAACCAGTTAGTAGAATAAATAATAGGTTGAAGACGCTATCGCTAATGCTAACCATCTACTCACAAATCTGAGCTGGCGACACACAGGATTGCAGACGTGCCAATACTCATGCCATCATTATAGAAATATGCTCTATAATTAATATCAATGAATGCTACTTTCCTCATCACCTAGGCAACCATTGATTTCCATTCATTGACTTTTATATCAGCATAAAGACACTTATATATATTAGCATGTACGAAATATATTATAGCACATTGTTATTCACATTTTTAACCATTTCTTATGCCTTTGAATTAGAAAGCATTTTTTTAAAACATCGATTTAGGATTCTTAAGTTATTTTAGGAGTAAAATGCTTTGGTGCAAGAACTGAGAGTAACCATGCACATAGCCGTTTTCACCAGAGTCACTTTAAAGGATAATTACGGACATTATAGTCCAATTATCGTAGTGTTGGCCATCTTTCCATTTCTTTAGATAATTATAACATGTTGGGGTTTAATTTGATTATAAATGATAAAAATTATGGCCAAAACTACAAATAGACCAGAATTATCCTTCTTTTTAATGTAAAATTCAGCGTTATCATAATGAGACGTTTAAACGATGACACTTCAAGGCCTGATGCAATGTCCAACACACACACACACACACACACACACACACACACACACACCACACACACACACACACACACACACACACACACACACACACACACACACACACACACACACACACACACACACCACACACACACACACACACACACACACACACACACACACACACACACACACACACACACACACACACACACACACACACACACACACACACACACACACACACACACACACACACACACACTCAGGGTCTTACAGGTCTTTCTTTTGACCCAAGGACGTCACAGCAGTTCTCACACTGGAGTGAAGGGCAGAGCGGTGACAGGGTGAGTTTACAGAAACAGAAATGATCATGTTTGAGGAGGAAGATGTTTACTTTAAAGTTACCTCTCAGAGTCGCTCTCGTCGCTCGACTCCACTTCCTCCAGCGCCGCCTGAAGGTCAACGATGCGACGGATCGATGTTTCAAGGTCGGCTTGTAATGCCTGTCTGACGGCGCTCAGCTCCTCCACCTGCATCTCCTGCAAAACACACATGAGAACTCTTTAAAGTAGAGACACTACATACTGATATACACCTGATCATCAGCAGGAGAGGACTCTTTAAAGTAGAGACACTACATACTGATATACACCTGAACATCAGCAGGAGAGGACTCTTTAAAGTAGAGACACTACATACTGATATACACCTGAACATCATCAGGAGAGGACTCTTTAAAGTAGAGACACTACATACTGATATACACCTGAACATCAGCAGGAGAGGACTCTTTAAAGTAGAGACACTTCATACTGATATACACCTGAACATCTGCAGGAGAGGACTCTTTAAAGTAGAGACACTACATACTGATATACACCTGAACATCAGCAGGAGAGGACTCTTTAAAGTAGAGACACTACATACTGATATACACCTGAACATCAGCAGGAGAGGACTCTTTAAAGTAGAGACACTACATACTGATATACACCTGAACATCAGCAGGAGAGGACTCTTTAAAGTAGAGACACTACATACTGATATACACCTGAACATCATCAGGAGAGGACTCTTTAAAGTAGAGACACTACATACTGATATACACCTGAACATCAGCAGGAGAGGACTCTTTAAAGTAGAGACACTTCATACTGATATACACCTGAACATCTGCAGGAGAGGACTCTTTAAGTAGAGACACTACATACTGATATACACCTGAACATCAGCAGGAGAGGACTCTTTAAAGTAGAGACACTACATACTGATATACACCTGAACATCAGCAGGAGAGGACTCTTTAAAGTAGAGACACTACATACTGATATACACCTGAACATCAGCAGGAGAGGACTCTTTAAAGTAGAGACACTACATACTGATATACACCTGAACATCAGCAGGAGAGGACTCTTTAAAGTAGAGACACTACATACTGATATACACCTGAACATCATCAGGAGAGGACTCTTTAAAGTAGAGACACTACATACTGATATACACCTGAACATCAGCAGGAGAGGACTCTTTAAAGTAGAGACACTACATACTGATATACACCTGAACATCTGCAGGAGAGGACTCTTTAAAGTAGAGACACTACATACTGATATACACCTGAACATCAGCAGGAGAGGACTCTTTAAAGTAGAGACACTACATACTGATATACACCTGAACATCAGCAGGAGAGGACTCTTTAAAGTAGAGACACTACATACTGATATACACCTGAACATCAGCAGGAGAGGACTCTTTAAAGTAGAGACACTACATACTGATATACACCTGAACATCAGCAGGAGAGGACTCTTTAAAGTAGAGACACTACATACTGATATACACCTGAACATCAGCAGGAGAGGACTCTTTAAAGTAGAGACACTACATACTGATATACACCTGAACATCAGCAGGAGAGGACTCTTTAAAGTAGAGACACTACATACTGATATACACCTGAACATCAGCAGGAGAGGACTCTTTAAAGTAGAGACACTATATACTGATATACACCTGAACATCAGCAGGAGAGGACTCTTTAAAGTAGAGACACTACATACTGATATACACCTGAACATCAGCAGGAGAGGACTCTTTAAAGTAGAGACACTACATACTGATATACACCTGAACATCAGCAGGAGAGGACTCTTTAAAGTAGAGACACTATATACTGATATACACCTGAACATCAGCAGGAGAGGACTCTTTAAAGTAGAGACACTACATACTGATATACACCTGAACATCAGCAGGAGAGGACTCTTTAAAGTAGAGACACTACATACTGATATACACCTGAACATCAGCAGGAGAGGACTCTTTAAAGTAGAGACACTACATACTGATATACACCTGAACATCAGCAGGAGAGGACTCTTTAAAGTAGAGACACTACATACTGATATACACCTGAACATCAGCAGGAGAGGACTCTTTAAAGTAGAGACACTATATACTGATATACACCTGAACATCAGCAGGAGAGGACTCTTTAAAGTAGAGACACTACATACTGATATACACCTGAACATCAGCAGGAGAGGACTCTTTAAAGTAGAGACACTATATACTGATATACACCTGAACATCAGCAGGAGAGGACTCTTTAAAGTAGAGGACACTACATACTGATATACACCTGAACATTCAGCAGGAGAGGACTCTTTAAGTAGAGACACTACATACTGATATACACCTGAACATCAGCAGGAGAGGACTCTTTAAAGTAGAGACACTATATACTGATATACACCTGAACATCAGCAGGAGAGGACTCTTTAAAGTAGAGACACTACATACTGATATACACCTGAACATCAGCAGGAGAGGACTCTTTAAAGTAGAGACACTACATACTGATATACACCTGAACATCAGCAGGAGAGGACTCTTTAAAGTAGAGACACTACATACTGATATACACCTGAACATCAGCAGGAGAGGACTCTTTAAAGTAGAGACACTACATACTGATATACACCTGAAACATCAGCAGGAGAGGACTCTTTAAAGTAGAGACACTATATACTGATATACACCTGAACATCAGCAGGAGAGGACTCTTTAAAGTAGAGACACTACATACTGATATACACCTGAACAATCAGCAGGAGAGGACTCTTTTAAAGAGAGACACTATATACTGATATACACCTGAACATCAGCAGGAGAGGACTCTTTAAAGTAGAGACACTACATACTGATATACACCTGAACATCAGCAGGAGAGGACTCTTTAAAGTAGAGACACTACATACTGATATACACCTGAACATCAGCAGGAGAGGACTCTTTAAGTAGAGACACTATATACTGATATACACCTGAACATCAGCAGGAGAGGACTCTTTTAAAGTAGAGACACTACATACTGATATACACCTGAACATCAGCAGGAGAGGACTCTTTAAAGTAGAGACACTACATACTGATATACACCTGAACATCAGCAGGAGAGGAACTCTTTAAACGTAGAGCACACTACATACTGATATACACCTGAACATCAGCAGGAGAGAGGACTCTTTAAAGTAGAGGACACTACATACTGATAACACCTGAACATCAGCAGAGAGGACTCTTTAAAGTAGAGGACACTACGATACTGATATACACCTGAACATCAGCAGGAGAGGACTCTTTAAAGTAGAGACACTAACCTACTGATATACCCTGAACATCAGCAGGAGAGGACTCTTTAAGTAGAGACACTACATACTGATTATACACCTGAACATCAGCAGGAGAGGACTCTTTAAAGTAGAGACACTACATACTGATATACACCTGAACATCAGCAGGAGAGGACTCTTTAAGTAGAGACACTACATACTGATATACACCTGAACATCAGCAGGAGAGGACTCTTTAAAGTAGAGACACTACATACCTGATATACACCTGAACATCAGCAGGAGAGGACTCTTTAAAGTAGAGACACTACATACTGATATACACCCTGAACATCAGCAGGAGAGGACTCTTTAAAGTAGAGACACTAATACTGATATACACCTGAACATCAGCAGGAGAGGACTCTTTAAAGTAGAGACACTACATACTGATATACACCTGAACATCAGCAGGAGAGGACTCTTTAAAGTAGAGACACTACATACTGATATACACCTGAACATCAGCAGGAGAGGACTCTTTAAAGTAGAGACACTACATACTGATATACACCTGAACATCAGCAGGAGAGGACTCTTTAAAGTAGAGACACTACATACTGATATACACCTGAACATCAGCAGGAGAGGACTCTTTAAAGTAGAGACACTACATACTGATATACACCTGAACATCAGCAGGAGAGGACTCTTTAAAGTAGAGACACTACATACTGATATACACCTGAACATCAGCAGGAGAGGACTCTTTAAAGTAGAGACACTACATACTGATATACACCTGAACATCAGCAGGAGAGGACTCTTTAAAGTAGAGACACTACATACTGATATACACCTGAACATCAGCAGGAGAGGACTCTTTAAAGTAGAGACACTACCATACTGATATACACCTGAACAGCAGCAGGAGAGGACTCTTTAAAGTAGAGACACTATATACTGATATACACCTGAACATCAGCAGGAGAGGACTCTTTAAAGTAGAGACACTACATACTGATATACACCTGAACATCAGCAGGAGAGGGACTCTTTTAAAGTAGAGACACTACATTACTGATATACACCTGAACATCAGCAGGAGAGGACTCTTTAAAGTAGAGACACTACATACTGATTATACACCTGAACATCAGCAGGAGAGGACTCTTTAAAGTAGAGACACTACATACTGATATACACCTGAACATCAGCAGGAGAGGACTCTTTAAAGTAGAGACACTACTATACTGATATACACCTGAACATCAGCAGGAGAGAGGACTCTTTAAAGTAGAGACACTACATACTGATATACACCTGAACATCAGCAGGAGAGGACTCTTTAAAGTAGAGACACTACATACTGATATACACCTGAACACTCAGCACGAGCAGGACTCCTTTATTAAGTAGAGCACACTACATACTGATATACACCTGAACATCAGCATGGAGAGGACTCCTTTAAAGTAGAGACAAATAATACTGATATACACTGAACTCAGCAGGGAGGACTCTTTAAGTAGAGACACTACATACTTTTTGATTATACACCTGAAACTCCGCAGGAGAGGAACATGTCCTCTTTAATCCCTGTTGTAACATTTTATGTGTGTGTTTACAAACTGTACCTACACTCGTGTTCCTTTAAAAGGTATGTTGTTGTACCGCTCACCTCCATGAGGCCAGATGGGTGTTCATTCCCCGAAAACCTGTAAAGACCACGCGGCCCACATCTGCCAGCAAATTACCGTCCTCCACCCTATATAACCTCATCAGTCAAAACACGAGTCCAATGGCATGTCCTCACACACACACCACACAACACACACACACTACTCCACACACACACAACACACACACACACAACACACCACCACACACACACACACACACACACACACACACACACA